ACATTAAGTTTTAGAGTCGCCAGGGAGATGCTATCCAGCCTTTGGCCAAAAAAAAAAAAAAGAGAGTGTTGCTTGCTATAGTAGCGCAGGAGGAAACTCATGGCCAGGGAAGGAGCCGGGCTCTCATCCACTTTCATGAGGACAGTGCCCGCCGCAGTGGGTGCAGTGGGGGGATGCTTGGTGTTGGATCCCCGCCGGTGGAGGGGCGGCATGAGACCTCCCATCCTGGCTACCCAGCTGCGTGGAGCAAGAACTGGGGTGCCAAAGGGTCCTCATGTGCCACCGTCAGCCCCCCTAGACATTTATATTGAAGGAAACACTTCTGTATGATGACCCCTCCAGCTTCCCTCCCCGTCCATCCCATGGGGGCACCAGCTGAGCACCGGGAGCTGCTTTTTCGGGAGGAGGCCGGGCTGTTGGGGCACGCAGCCCACCTCGGAGGAAACCCATTTATCATGCAGCTCGGAGGTTATCTGGTGTGAAGTTTCAAGTGGGCTCCTAATTCAGCCACACACTAAATCCAAACCCAGCTTAAGCGTAAGTGACTTTGAAGCACAATCACTGCGATTAGACTGGATTTTCTATGGTATTTAGCTGCCTAAAGATGCAGATCAGCATTTAGCCAGCTTTCAGAGGCACCTGGGGGTAAATCTGCAAAAAAAGATGGAGGTGCTTAGGGTGGCAGTGCCTGACATGAGTGCTCCAGGGCATGGTGGGCTTTGGCTTTGCTGGTTTCCCTTCTGGGGGAGAAGGGCTCCTCTGAGGACTTGAGACCCTCAGGCTATTGCTGCGCTTCCAAAGGCAGCCAGACCAAGGCATGGCTGTGGCTGCGAGCCCGGCATTTGCCCTGATAGCACCAGCCCTGGCACGGTTCATACCCGAGCTGGCCAGCACCACAGCGCGAGCCAGGGATGGATGATGCCACTTGCTATTTTTGGGATGGCAGGAATCGGGTTTAGCCACGTGGGCAGAGCAGCCTTGCTCGACCCTCGTGGTGCCAGGGTCAGGGCACTGGCCGGGGTTATTTGGCAGCACCAATGTCACCTTTCCAGCTCTGCCCCATCACTGAGTCCTGCCACAGTGGTGGTCCCCTCCTCCTGCCTGCCCACAGAGGGGCCGCAAAGGCTGGGCCAGAGTGGGAGCGTGTGGGGCTCTGGGGTCTAACCAGGGACGTCTCGCCCAGCCTTATATTTTTAGCTGCCTAATTGCAAGAGCAGAATGTACTCGGCTTTGCTGCAGGATGCTCCTGCTCGGTTCCTGGCAGAGATTGATCTTGAAATGCCAATTGCTCTCCAGGGGCACCGGCTCTAATGAATTGCCATGGTTTGTGCTCGTCCCAGGCACCGGCGCTCCCTCCTCCCTGCTTCCCAAACAGCAGGGTAACGAGACACCCAGAAAAGAGATTATTTTTCCTTCTCCTGAGATGAAGGTAAAAATTTCACGGGAGTGTATGCATGCGTGCGTGTGTGCCAGCACATAATTACAAGCCCGAATCCTGCAGGCTTTTCTCCATCAGCATTCCCGCTGAAGGTTTGCCGTAGGAAAGGAGTGTGTTAAAACAGCCTTTTGCAGTTGCCTCCCTGAGTTTATTTGTTCCTTGCAGTCCAGTTTCCAGCAAAAGGAATTATTAAAGCCTGTGATGAACAGAGCAGCTTGCCAGCATCCCGGGCTGGAGCGGATGCTGGGATAGGTCTGGCTGGGTGGCCGTTCCATGGACCGGCTGTGAGGGATGGCTCCCTACCCACACCTCAAGCTGCTTTCCAGCTCTCTCTGACCTTGTCCGTGGAGGGAAGTTCAGGAAAATGAACTAACCTGAAGTAGATTTGGCAAATGGCTTTAAACCTGTGTGCGCCTTCTGCATCCAGAACTCAAGTGTCTTGGGCTGGTTTACCTTAATACGCTCCCCGAGGTGCTCCTGACATCTCGTGTCCCTCTGGGACACCCTATTTCTGCACCCTGCTGGGACCTGTTTGGCTCCGCACCTGGAGGTGTGCCTGGGGGGGCTGCAGTCAAATTAATCAGCTTTTGGGCTCATTGTTTTCCCTGCCCCCCCAATGGCTTTTACTGGGATCTGCAGGGAAGTTTGGCAGGGGGTGTGCCAGCCAGCACCTGCACGGGAAGGCCAGGAGCCTGCTTCTTTGTGGGGATGGACAGGAGCCGTCCACAGTTGTGCAGGGCTCAGGGCAGGATTTTGATCCTCTGGGGAAGGTGGGAAGCCTGCTGATGCTGGGGGGCTGGCAGGGATCTCCTTTTTCCCAAGGCCAGGAAAGATCGTCGGTTTTTGGTTTATCCCAGCAATGCAGAGCTGCTGGAGCAGGTGGCTGAGGCTGAATAACCTACGTTTGCTTGACCCAGACAAAAACTTGTTTAGGCTTTGGTTCCCATCACAAAAACAGCAGATTGTTTGATGGGAGCAGAGTCATGGGTCAGCTGAGAGCTGCTGGAACCATGTGGGATGCGGACAGGGCAATGGGACACAGTCCCATGGGGCTGGGCCCTCTCTAAGCATGGCCTCGTTGCTCCAACATCTGACATGTCAGCGACCCAGCATGGTGGGCCACCTCTGTGCCAGGGGACGTGGTGGCAAGGCCAACTCAGGCAGGCGATGTGGGGAGCCTGCGCCTTAAATACAATATAAAATGTGATGAGCAGACGTGGCGGGGAACCGGCTCCTGTGTTAATGAGAGTGTGGCCAGGCTGCTGCCGAAGGATCCTGCCTTGCAGGAGGGCGAGGCAGGGATGCAGGCAGGGGAGAGCAGCCAAGTGCCTCAGTAGCTTGCAGGGGATGATGCTGAAATGGTGACGTCCCACTGGTGCGCTGCTCCTTTGCCCATGCCTGCTACAGGGGAC